AGAGCTATTAATTTCATGGATAAAATAGCTCAGGATTTCCACTTTATTCTTACTATAATTCTTTATGGTAGAAACTTTCTCAAAAAATCATATAATCATACAAATAATAATGAATGATTAATAAACAGAAAAAAGGAAGGAAGAGAGGGGCAGAGGAAGAGAGCGAGGGACCGCGGGAGGGAGGAAGACTACTATGATTTCTCAGGCAGAGTTAGGGTTGGGAGGTTGGGGGACAATCTCCCAGCTGCTTGGGGTCTTTAGTGTAGAACTTACTTTTCCTTCAAACTCAGCTTGAGTTCAGAATCAAAAGACACTTCTCCTTATGCATAAAGTACCTCCCTCATGGCCCTTATGGGCAATGTGGTTGAACCAATGACAGTGAGTCATCTAGAAATAGAGGTAGAAGAGAGTGTTCCAAAAATAGAAAGGAAGGGAGGGAGAGGAGCATTAAATGAGCATACGTTTCTTATTCATAATTTTCTGTCTCCAACACCCCCCATTTACTTTCCTTATACCCATCCAGCAATTATTTAACCCACTTATTACTTATAACCATGTCAGATTGTCCTAAAATTACTGTTATTTCTGATTCACCATTTATCTAGGATGTACCGCTGGTCAGTCTACTCATTCCCTTTGTATTTTGAGAGTTCCTATGCACTTATTTTCTTATACATTATAGTATAAGCCAAATAGAAGCTAGAAACCTCCCCCACTCATCTCCTCTTTCTCCAGAGTATTTGTTATGTCCCAAGTCTTCAAGAACACAAGGACTATAAAAACTCCTTATAACATTCTTTCCATCCTAGACAAAGAGTTTATACACAAATTTACACTAGGTCAGGTAACCCTCTGATGTAAATTTAAGATACCAGAGGAATAGGAAGCCACTTTTATAACTAAGAAAAAGTCTTTGGACAAACACTGATGAATTCTAAATCTTTATTCTCCTTCTGTACTGTTCTTTTTTAAATGTTTAAATTTTTATTTTATTTTTATTTCTAACTGTGATGAAATGCACATAAGGTAAATCTTACCATTTTAACCACTTTTAAGCATACAGTTTAATGGCTTTGGGTACATTCACATCATTGGGCAACCATCACCACCATCCATCCCCAGAACCCTTTCATCTTGCAAAACTGAAACTCTGTACCCATTATGCAACAACTCCCCATTCCTCCTCTCCCCAGCCCCTGGCTACCACCATCCTATTTTCTTTTTTATTGAAGTATAGTTGATTTACAATATTGTGTTAGTTTCAGGTGTACAGTAAAATTATATATATATATATGTGATATATTCTTTTTTACTAAATCTTTTCCATTATAGGTTATTACAAGATGTTGAATATAGTTCCCAGTGAATCCTTGTTTATCTATTTTACGTATAGTAGCGTGTACCTGTTATTCCTATACTCCTAGTTTATCTTCCCCTGCCCCTTTGATAACCATGAGTTTGTTTTCTAAGTCTGTGACTCTGTTCCTGTTTTGTAAATAAGTTCATTTGTATTATTCTTTAGATTCCACATATAAGTGATATCATAATATTTGCAAGAACTACACGACCATATCAGTTTTCTAAGCCCTTCAAGATTTTACTCAATCTCTTACTGTTGACCAATAATTTTTCAGAATCTCTCCTAAATGAGGCACTCAGAGAAAATATTCTAACACATTATGACCAACACAATGAGACTCAGGGGAAAAAAAATTCAAGAGAATTGTCTGTGAATGATCAAGTAGACAAGAAGGCAAACTTGCAAAGAGAGAATATGAGGATTTTGTCTTCTTTTAAAAAAAATTTTATTGAAGTATAATTGATTTACAATGTTTTGTTGGTTTCTGGTGTACAGCATAGTGATTCAGTTATATATATTTTTTCATATTATTTTTCATTATATGTTAGTATAAGATATTAAAAATAGTTCCCTGTGCTATACACTATGACCTTGTTGTTTAACTGCTTTATATATAATAGTTTGTATCTGCTAATCCCAAGCTCCTAATTTATTCCACCGCACAGTTTACCCTTTGGTAAACATAGTTTGTTGTCTATGTCTGTGAGTCTGTTTCCATTTTGTAAATAAGTTCATTTGTATCATATTTTTTAGGTTCCATATATAAGTGATGTGATACGGTATTTGTCTTTCACTGTCTGACTTACTTCACTTAGTATGATAATCTCTAGGTCCATCCATGTTGCTAGAAATGTTATTATTTCATTCTTTTTATGGCTGACTAGTATTCCATTGTGTGTGTGTGTGTGTATGTATATATGTATGTATGTATGTATGTATGTATATATGTGTGTGTGTGTGTCTTTATCCATTCGTCTGTTGATGTACAATTAGGTTGCTTGTAAATAGTGCTGCTATGAACATTGGGGTGCAAGTATCTTTTCGAATTAGAGTTTTATCTGTATATATGCCCAAGAATGGGATTGCTGGATCATAGAGTAAGGCTATTTTCAGTTTTTTAAGGCATCTCCATACTGTTTTCAGTAGTGACTGTACCAAATTACATTCCCACCAGCAGTGTAGGAGAGTTCCCTTTTCTCCACACCATCTTCAGCATTTATTGTTTGTGGACTTTTTAGTGATGGCCATTCTGACTGGTGTGAGGTGATACCTTATTGTAGTTTTGATGTGGATTTCCCTAATAATTAGCGATATTGAGCACCTTTTCATGTGCTTATTGGTCATCTGTATGTCTTCATTGGAGAAATGTCTATTTAGGTCTTCTGCCCATTTTTTGATTGGATTGTTTCATTTTTTTCTTATTGAGTTGTGTGAGCTGTTTGTATATTCTGGAAATTAAGCCCTTGTCAGTCTCATCTTTTGCAAATATATTCTCCCATTCTGTAGGCTGTCTTTTCATTTTGTTTATGGTTTCCTTTGCTGTGCAAAAGATTATAAGTTTGGTTAGGTCCCACTTATTTTCGCTTTTAGTTCTATTGCCTTGGTAGACTGGCCTAGGAAAACAATGCTATGATTTATGTCAGAGAATGTTTTTGCTATGTTCTCTTCCAGAAGACTTACGGTGTCCTGTCTTATGATTATGTATTCAAACCATTTTTAGTTTATTTTTGCATGATGTGAGGGAGTGTTCTAATTTCATTGATTTACATGTGACTGTCCAGCTTTCTTAAGGAGTTCATCTTTTGTTTTCTGTGTTGGTTGAGACATAAAATGATAAATGAAAACCCAAATAGTCAACCCCTTAAAGCAGTCAACCTGAAGGCAAGTCCTTAAGCATCTTATTATTATGTGATAAGGACATCATTTTAGAATCTTTTTTATTATTATGCGGTTTCTACAGAAAGCAAAAAGTTTCTGAAATAAAAAGTATCGGACTTGGAATTGTAGATTTATACAAAAGTACCTGGGTCTGCTCAGCTCTCTTTGCCTCACTTGTCATCATAGAGCAAGAGATCTTTTAAAATACAACAGGGAGAGACCTTGAGTCTTTAAGAACTCCACTGCCATGAGTGGTTTGTGTTCAGCTTCTCCTGCAGTACCAGACACTGTGTCACTCACAGCACAGAAGTACTCAGCTGAGTCACTCCAATGGACTGAGGATTTCCTAAGGTTGAAGGAAGATTCACTTCTCTTATATTCAGCCTCAAAGCCTTTAATGCCTTGAACCAAAGGATCGCCTGAAAAGTACTTGAGGAGAAGCTGGAGTCCGTGGCAGGGGTACTGGACGTACCAGAAGAGATACACGCTTGCACCATAGGAATAGTTGCACCTCAGCTCCAGTGAGGCTTTTTCAGAGATCAAAACATGGTCATCAGGCTGGGTCACTGTCTGGGCTCGGGCATCTCCTGCAAAAGCAATATTATGTCAATGAAAACAATGTAGACATCACTATGAAAATTGAGTATTTGTAGTAAGAGTCTGTAGAACTGAAAACCACTACGAAATTTTACTCACTCAGGGTAAATGTCATCCCCAGTACTGAGATGAGCAACAGGAGCATGGCTGAGCGGTGGAAAGGTTGTGAGGTCTTTTCTGAAAGACCTCCTCTGAGCAGACAGGAAAGTGGCAGTAAATAAGTGTGGGGAACGTTGCGCTGGATAAGTTCCTTGTTAGATAAAATCACAAAAGCTGCTGAGATGAGCCTGGAGGTTTCTGATGTCTGTTTCTTCTCTGTGCGAAGAACTCAGTCAGCTGCAGGAGGAGGGACTGAGAGGATGAAGATCAGTAAGATCTTTAAGTTTGTGCAGCATCGCCCTCTGGAGGGAAGGTGCGGAACAAAAGGTCCCAAGGCTCCACGGAGAACTAATTAGGGTGTTCTTTTATTTTCTGAGATATATCCAAACTTCCATCTTCCGAATATGTTTTTACCTTCCCAAATCTATGACAATGTATTAGTCCTAGAGACCACAGAAATTAGACATCATAAAAAAGTAGAGTGACAAGTTACTTCACTGAGAAATCAGTTTTTTAAAAATATCTCAGACTTGGAATTCAAGTCCATGAGTCTTTGGAGTCAGACTAATTGCCTCAGACTGAGTTCTGGATGGCCCAGTGCTGTCATGATAGTAATGGAGGATGGCAGAGATATTTTCCATGGCTGATACTCATGAACCCACATGGTGCTTGTGAAATCTTTCAGACATAAAGAGAGGGCCCATAACTATAAGGCACTGATGAAAGAAACTGAAGAAGACACAAATAAATGGAAAGATACATAGTTCTCATGGATCAGAAGAATTAATATGTTAAAATATCCA